TGGCCACGCAACTCAAAAGTTTGCTGTTATGATTTTCGCTGACAAGAAGAAAGAGAAAAAAAGGTAATTTCAAAAGAAACGCTGGCCAGTTCATGACAGAATAGGCTTTCAAAAGTGGCTGAGCGCAATATGCTACAGGGCAGGAACATCAATCATGGAAAGCAGTAAAACGTGGAGAGGAAGACTGGCAGAATGCTGCCTATTTCTCTATCAAATTATCAGCCTTGAGAATGGTTGATTGTTGCATCCGTATGTGGCAATCTACAACTTGTGAAAGAGCATTTTGGGCTTGTTGAATATAGGATATTGCATGTTGGGCATTGCACTTTGAATGGCAATGGCCATTGATGGATGGATGGCGTGCTGCCAACATTGCTGTCCTGGGCTAGGGGTGTGCCCCTAGTGCTAATTATTTAGGAATGGATTAGCGGAATTTGGTGTATGTCTTGGGCACTTGAACGGCCAATATGACGTACTGATGTATTGTGACACATCCCAAATGCAAGCAAAGAGTACTGGCAGGCAATTTGAAGCATGCCATACGCAACACACTACCCTAGCAGTGTGCCAGGCCTGCCATTGACGTGACAGGTCGCCATGTCACACGGAGCACTTTGAGCGGGTACCTTGGGCCCTGACTGTGCACTGCTAGTTTGCGCGACAGGCGGCGATCGCCTGACCCGCCTTGGGAGCATGCGAATAGGCAGAAAGCTGTCCCCTGGGCAGCGCCTCACGTCGCAGCCGGTTCGAAGGGGAGGCATGGAACAGGGCCAGGCCTACGTGCCATTGGACCTAGTCGCAAGCAAGAGCGGGCCGTCAGCGCCCTTGCTGATGGTGTGGTCGCTGTGGCGCAATGGCAGGTCAGTCATACGCAGTGAGCACAACGAATGCAGTGGGACCACGGAGCAGGATGCGGATGGCGACGCGGGCCACCTTATCGTTGGCAGAGGAAGTAGCGCGGCATGCACAAAAAGCATGGATGAAGAATGGACATTCGTGCAGATACTGCGAAGGACCAGAAACCAAGAGGAAGTAGTAGGACCCTCTCAAAGCAAGGTGCCATTCATAAAGGATGACTAAAAACGTTGGTCATCTGCACTCTATACTTAGTAAAAATATTGCAAAGGGTGCTTGAGTGAATAAAGTTGTTTGGTGGTCGGTTGGCTCAATGGGATGATACTAGTGAGCCAAGCCATGAAGCATGACTAGATTATATTACTCTATCTGTGTATCAATGGGGTTTGATGGGAATATACAAAGGTTTAGAAGAATTTAGGCAACTAGAATAAAGATGCGATCCTTTGGTGAGACAATTGACCCTAGGTTGCATTGTAGATGGATTTCATTTGAATAGGTTAATCCGAACGGTGAAACGGGGGAAAGATAAGTGATAAGTGTGACATAGGCATGATCCATTTGAAAAGGGGAATATACCATGGAATTTCAGGGGAATATTCATAGAAGGGAGGGTAGCCCCGCAGACTATAAAAAGGGGAGTGGCGCTCCTTGTTGTCGCCAGCATAGCTGACACAAAAATGGTCATAAGGAACCAACCGGATAATCCTTGTAATAATTGGTTGATTGGGTCAAAGATTGAGTGCAGGTCACAAATTGTGAAGGGTTGTTCTACATGTGTGTGTTAAGTATGTGTGAGCAGATTGTGAGCAGCCCTCAACTCTATTGCGTGAGTGATTTGAAACACTAGGGAAGTGTCCTATTGGGAACGCCTGTGGGGCCCCAAGCGCTTCCAAAATTCTAACTATTTTTATGTGTGTCCTATTAGGAAAACCTGCTGGCCCTTGCTGCACACGTCGGCTTAATGTGGGGGATCCCCTGCTAATGGTCTCTTGGTGTGGGGGACGCCCTGACCGAGATATGGTAACACACCAACCGGATTTTATTCTCTTATACGATATGATACGGGGGTAGGCTAGGGTGGTCCCACCTAGGTCCCCTTCAGGACTTAGGTGCCCGGCGAGGCGAGTCCGCGGCTTAAAGAGGGCAGGCGCCCCATACCACTAACAGTGTTGCATCAGCCCCAAGGCACAACTTAATAGTAATTACACATAATGTAATAGACTGGGAAGACTACGGGGCCCCAAAAAACATCTTAAAAAATATCTGGGGTATTGTGTTGTAGTTGACTTCCAATATAATCACACATTGTTATAATACACAATAGGGCTCTTTGCTTACAGCCCAGGCTGCGTTTCCAAAAATAGTTGTTGCATTTCCGTGGTGACTAAGAATGGTTGGGAAGTGTGCAAGGGGTGCTGTCCCCTCAGGAGACACCAAGGATCCAGGTCATAGTGTTGAAATGTTGCAAGTGATGTGGCTGTTTTGGCGAGCCAGTTGTTGCTAGACCCTGTGTTGAGGCAACCTGAAGCTGTACTTTAGGCAACGTGCGCTCATAACAAGTGTTGTACAAGCCCAAATTTCGTATTGCTGGTTTTCGAATCCCCAAAACTTTTCGAGTCTATTGCAAATTGTGCCGCTGGTTGCGAGCGATGATGAGCTGTCACCACAGTGACCGGTGTTGCACACACTGCTGATTCAACATCAGAAAATTTGATTACAATTTGCAGTTACATGCCCTTTGAATTCGCCAATACCTGTACAGTGAAACTCTGAGAAGCCAGCGCTGGCCGTAGCATGAGCTAGGCTGAGAAAGGCCCCAAAGAACTGAACAAGGAAATTAGAGTTCAAACTCCTGCCACAAAAAATTGCATCATCAGAGTGTCCCCCAGCTCTCTGTGAAATCTGATCTACAGAAAAGCGCATAGGAAGCTCAGAGGCAGTCAATGACTCGGAATCAGACTCGCCAGCTACGAAAGAGCTGGAAAGAGCTGCCTGCAAGAGTTGTTGATAACTGAGCTGTGCAAGTGCCCACATAATCATCAAGAAACTGGATGCCAAAGTGTATGTTGATGATGTGCTGATATCATTGGGCAGTGTCCACAGTCCTGAATATCATACTAGGGACTGGATAGTTGTGTTCGCAAATACCTACCAACTGGTCCAGATTTGGAAAACAGTTGGCGGTGCCCTGCTGACATTGATCTATGGCAATCTGTTTGCCTACGGTCCTATATTGGCAGCGAGAACTGCAAGTCTTATTCAAAGAGTGTGTAGATTGGTTTGGTGTGTCTTGTGTTCACTAATGCGAGGAGAATCACTTCAGCTGGCTAATTTGGCTCGGGGAATCGCCCGCGTAAAGAGTCAATTGAGTTTCCTTGGAATTCTGAGCGTGTAAGGCACGGTCAGATTAGGCAGGAAAGGAGCGCCGAACCCATCTCGTCACGACCTGTGACGGGTGTGGTCGCTGGCCCACTTAGCAGTCTTTGTCATTTCCAGTTGATCTGTGCTTTTGTAGCTGGATTAGCAATCGGTTGTTGTGTGTCAGTAGGATCCCTTTGCATTGGGATCTAGGTGGGGCAAGTGCTTTGATCCAAGCACACATGTGGCCGTGACTCACCAGTCATACTCGGCAGTCACACGTAATGGCCATTCAACAATGTTGTCCTTCCCGCAAAATGAACATGTTCACACATGAACACACGGGCGCTCATAATCATGCAAAGCCACATTGGCTGTGTATTCAACATTGTGCATGCACATCATGTCTAGGGCACAAGTGTCGACGCATTGCACAAAGAATCAGTGGAATTGGGTTCACTTGCATGCAGCAAGAAGGGCTTGGATCTGAGGGGGGATCAGTGCATGTGGTCGCAATAATTGGTGGGTGGGCTCGGTGGAGCCACTACTCAGTACGACCGATATCAGTATCAGTACCGATCCTGGCGAGATAAGAGACACCTAGGCTTGGATTTTCAATGACCCATGGACCCATGGACCCATGGACCCATGGACCCATGGACAGAACGCACTGAGCCCAGGCTTCAAGGTTGTATACGTTGGCCTTTCCGCTCGTTGGAGATCTGCCCATCAGAGATCGAGAAAAGCGGCGATTTCTGGCATCGTCAACACTGTGATGATGGCCGCCTAAAACAAGGATAAATGCACGTTCGAGTGTGTTTGGCAAGTGCTATGCCACGCGCCGGACCTTTGCCACAATGGTGGCAACCACTAGCGTTGCAACTCCTGGGCACGGGAGCACCCCCAAACCAGGGGGACCTGCAAGACCGCGCAAATTGAACCCAAATTGTTTGGATTGTGTCAATGCAATTTTGGGGGGCAGCTCACAGGGTTGAGCTGTATATTTTTTCTTGAAAATTCGAACTTAAAGGTTTTGAGACCCAGTCTTTCCGATTCTGGCCTCTATTTGCAATTTGGATGCCGTTTTCACGACGAGATTTCTCTCTCAAATAGACGACAATTAATATACGACGGAGGAAGTATCAATCTGTAATGATTATAGTTGTAATACACCCTGTACATTGCACCATTTCCTGATTTGGGCTGAAAATGGAGTCCATTATGCGTCCTTACAAGAACAGATGTGTCAGGCAATGATGCAAACGTCCATTAAACTAACGACATCCATTCACCAAACAAACGCATCTCTCAGTCTGCTCGATGTCGCCCTGCAGGTGCAGGAGCGCCACCTTATCATTATCAACAAACGTAATCAAAGCACTTATACTGCCGCCCTTGTATGCTAGCCTACAACACCCAACCAGGAAATTTCCCAAGCACCACTGCCTATTGGACACCTGAATCCCATCCGGTAAGCTCATGCGTTCACCCTCCAGCACGCGAATTCAAGAACGCTGCGATCACGCCGTTCCCGGCAAATCACCAATTTGGGAGATGCAGTGTCCACCGCCGGCATCAGCAGCCACAACACAGTTGGTGCGATTAGATCCCATTCAACCCACCATCCACATGCAGCAGAACCAAGTCTGCTCAAGATTCTTGAACACTGAGCAATGGACGTTGTTTTTGAATCGACCGGCAATGCCTCCCTGCGCTCATCCCGCTGGCAAGCGGCACACGCACAACGAACTTCCGTCCACCCAACTCGAGAGGGCAATAACCGATCACACCGTCTGGACTGCCGCGTCGCCCATCATTTCCTCCACCATCTGCTCAACGTCTTCGCGAGTCGTCGCACGTCTGTTGGGCACGCCACAAAACAGGACCATCAGCGCTGAGCTGTCGTGGGGCACAAGCATGTGCCGCAGGCACAGCGGCCACGCAGGCAAGGCTGCCTTTTGCTGGGACAACATAGCCTTTCGGGGAAATGTGCCGTTGGCCTGGTACTTTAGCAAGATGTGGCACACCTATAAGGGAAGACGCTATGTCGAGTTTGTAATGCTTAGCGTCAATTCGGTCAGCTGAGCACGAGTGATGGTCTGCTCGTGGTTGGTCCGTTGGGGCCTTTGGATGATTGGTTGGGTTTCTTGCATGGTTCGTAGGGGCGCTTTGCGGGGCTTTGGGACTTTGGGCTTCTGGCGGGGTTTTGAGATATGCTGATTGTTCATTTTTTCTTATATTTTCCCACCAACGTTGGCTTAAAAAATGTATGTTGGACTTGTAACGGGACGTACAGGGTCGTCCAGGGTTGCCGGGAGCTTTTCTTTGGGACATTGTCCGGTGTTGAATATCGGGTGGCTAGGGTCTTGGGTGTATGGGCGGGTCCTTGGAGGCCTTGCATTACACCTGACATTCCGCGCATTCTCTACCTGTCATACGGGCCCCCCGAGTGCATGTTCTCCTTGTCTATGACTTGCTTGTGTTGTGTGCTCATCTTTGCTTCGGAGGCTCTATGTCATCTTTTCTTAGCATAGAACAGAGCCTCACATACACTTGCCTAGGAGGGGGTGCCCTTTGTATGACCTGTTTCTCTTTCTCTTTGTAACAAAGCTTACCACCCTTCCTTAGCGTCAATCCTTATGTCGAAGCCAGGATGACTCAGCATCATTACACAATGGTGCAATGCCAATTCATTATGTTTTGAAGGAAGAAAAACAGCCAAAACTGTAGCAATTTTAGTGGGCTGAAAACTGAGATGCAAAATGCCATAGCAGCTGATGGGGGGCAGTTTCGAAGGCCGCCAATCGAGATTTATGGGGCCTTTTGTAAGACTGAAAGCCAAGGGAAGTTTTCAGACAAGTCATACGTTTATTGCCGCTTTTTCAGCAGCTTTTGGGTAATCTTCAAAGCTTATGTCGATTTCGTTGCAATTTCGCAATTTCTTGCAATTTCTCAATTTCGTTGCAATTTCACAGGACTGGATCGCCATCAACCCCCCTTAAAGCCAAATTGACGCTAAGCGTAACAATTTCGACATAGTATGCTCCGCAAAATATACCATTATTGTTGCTGTGAATGAAGCAACCGATCCCTGGCAAACATTGGTGATGCACGCTGTTCTGTACATTCTTGATATCTAGATATTCCTCATGTCTCCATGCTAATTTCAACATATCACCTTCCAATCGCAACATTGACTCAAACCGTGCTTCACACCAATTATCCTCAACTACTCAACTAATAATTTCGACCTCGCAATGGAGATGACTCATTCATGCCCACCTTGGAAACGGCAGCCGAATGTTCACTGGGCCTCTGCCGCTGAAGGTGCACATCGCGTCAAAGCCAAGGCTGTCCACGCGGTACGCCTCCGCGTTTGTGACGTCCAGGCCTGTGGTCTCCTTCGCGATGATGGCACTGACGGGGCCACCGGTGGCGCTCTTATTCAAGTCCGAACAGATGCTATCGCGATATTGTGCAACTGGGTCCGGAGAGGCCGCCAGATACTCCTCTGCAGTTGCCTGCTCACAGAACAAGGTGCTTGTGAGTACCTTGCGCGCATCCAATTGGTTGTCTTTGCCTAATAAACAACAAATAATATATCAAAACATAGTAGGAATGAATGCAAATGGATAAGTTTTTCCAGCACTCACTGGGTTCTTTGCAGCCATTCAAAATATCCAAGACATGACTACTTGCACAGACAAGGCACGATAGTGACACAGCATCCATCACATGAAGGGAAGGTCACACAAAATCAGCAATAGCACGAAAAGACTAGCCAAAACAATCATTCTGTGACTTCTTCTCGGAACTCACGAATCATGCACACTGCACAACACGATGGCAGCGCTTGAATCCTCAACGGCTAAGCCTAATCCACTCCTTCAAACCATGACCTTCAGTTGACTGGGCTTGAGCCCACCTTCCCCGTTCTTGCATTTCTCCGAACGTCCTCGGCATAGGTCGCTTTGACAATGTCATCCATTCGGAACCAGCGGAAATCGCCAAAGTCTACCCAGAAGGCCTGGGGCATCTTCGCCAGGTAGGCCTCCCGCAGATCGCCAGCATCTTCCTTGTCGTACGCCCTTACCGTTCCTATCAGGAGAGCACGGGAGTCTGACAGTGCCTGGAGCGCAGGGGCCAGCACTTCAGGCAAGCCGCAATTTCGCAAGGAAGTTGCGAACACCGGGAACAGACAAGCAGTGTGCTGGAAGCCAGCAAGGAAACAAGGCATTGATGGGAAATGGCCATCGAAACAACACGAGTGAATGGTGGCTGGAGAAGATGTGATCACATGCAATTGCAGTGTGCATCTATAAGGGCCTTCAGGCAACAAGCCTTCAGCATGCATGGCAAAGTGCTCGGTGTCGCCTGTACTGTGCAAGGTCCCTGCTTCATTCCACATTGGCATGCACATCCATAAAGAAAAGGACAAATAAAATGGAGAAAGACAAAATGGAGAAAAAATGGAGACCTTCGACTGGACATCCGATGGACTCTCAATCGTTCTTTGACAACTTACTATGCTTTTGTTTTCGGGAACAAGTAGGCTGCATCTTCCATCTCTGTACAGGCTGGCCGTGTGCTTTGCAAGCATGCTGATGCCAAATATGGGCCGGCCCTTTGAGTCAGCCACGTACTCCACCACGCTGGATAATGGAAAGCCTTCATCTGAGCCTTTGGATGAATGTGTGGCAAGGACACCAGTCCTGCGCACATCAACAGCACATTGGCAACCGTCAGAGCTGTCATCCTTGATTTCTCTGAGCCAAGGCCCGGCATGATGCCACCGATGTTTCCACACAAGTCAAAGAAGGTAATGAGTGGGGTAGATGCATTCAGAAGGGCCAAGGCAAAAGTGAATCCGCTCGCACAAGCATGGTTTCGCACCTAGAGAGACTGCCATTACCAAAGGCCCACATTTTATCAAACCCAGCCAGGTATCGGGCCTTCCTTCGTTACTGGCCCAGTCTCGAGAAAATCTCACCCAGATTGCAGAATAACCTGCTGGTCATGGAATACAACCTATTTTCATATTTACTGTCCAAAACTGTCCAAAAGTGTGCATAACTTGCTGCCGACCCAGGTGCCAAGGCTAAAGGTCTTCAGCATGGAAAAGATGCAACAAGGCTGGGCATGCATTAGTGGAAACGACGATCCTTGGCAGTAGCAGTAGCATTGGGAGGAAAGCCACACTTGCTGGGACACAGGGACACAGCGCTTCTCTTGCATGCATCAGAGCACGCTCGGATGCCAGCGTCCGAATTCTCAATAGCAACCACTCAAGAAGAACATGCTTTAGTTTCTGAATCGTTTACAATTGCAATTGTTGACACACGGTGGCACGCATCGCAGCAATACTTTCCGTTGCGAAATGGTTACGGATTGCTGCAGATCGCCTTCTTGTCGTGGAGGGCAGTAGGGCGATTGTTCGTCCATTGCGGGGGACCCACAGTTGATGTTCTGTTTAGTTGACAGATGACAGGAAAATCCATCATATGAAGGATCAGATATATGAGAGCATTTTCGTGCCCTGTTGCAGTCATGTATAGCAATACATGCCATGTGCACCTTTGGCCAACCCAACTCCACTTCTGTTGCCCCCCTCTGCTCGCAACCTCAAGTCAGACCGCATTGTGAGTTCACCACACACCATCCACAAAATGCAGCCTGGCATACGAACAGCCTAACTGAATGCCCAATGTGCATGCAGGGAGATATCATGCCAATGCTGTAGTCTGTCACAGTGAGCTGCAGTCAAGCCAGACAGGGCACTTCGGGCATAGGATTCAGGACGCCCAAAATACTGAGTTGGCTGAGTAGACTAGGCCCTGAGCTTGCCTTTTGAGAATGTGAGCACTGCTTGGGATGCTCCTCAGGGACTTACACTGAGCCGTCGACCAACGTCCTCGCTGCCTCAGCAAATGTCAAGCGGGGGGCCTCCCGATTTTTTATGACAAAGGTCCTGATGGGATCTTCTTCTCCTTGCTGGGAGGCTGGTCGTTGATGGTCACCTGGGAGTCACACAGACACAGCCGAGGTCTCTTGCATTTTTCTTCCTGTACTACCCACATATGCCTACGCCCCTGCATGTGTAAAGGTGTACCTCTTGTGATCCCCCCACAACACTTTGAAGTGCCAGATCCCACGAATTGTTGATGTGTATGACATCAGAGCATTGCATGACATCACACTACAGCTGCCAGATCAGGAGGAAATTATTGCTCTTGCATCTTGCAGTTGGTGACAAAAAACACAACCCATTAAATACCTCTGCGAACATTGTGCATAAAGCACTGCTGGACACATTGTCATGCTACACAATTACATGCTACACAGCTGGCTGTCAGCAGGGTGTTGACAGCAATTCATGCTGTCTGATCATCACGATCCAGCAGCGGGGGCACACCACCACCATTATGTCATTGTTGACATTGCCTGTCAAGATTCAAGTGCTCGTCCACTGACTGGCCCCAGTTGAGGATTTTGAAATATGCATAGCACATAGCCTACGTGGGGGCTCAGGCTCATGTCCAGCAGATTTTGCAGCAGTTGAGCACAGTGTCCTGGATCTTCTTAGTCGTCTGCTGTCAACTGGGCAATTTGGCAAAATCTGCAAACAAAAGAGGTGTTCAGCCAACAGCAAGGGGCAAACGAAGTTCACATTGGAACAAGCTGTGCCACAGCCAGAATCCCTGGATGTGCTTGTTGACATAGGCAAGAATGCCTGGGCACCTACAAGGGCATGAAGGGCAGGATCCAAAGCGCTGTTTGTTTGTGCAAGGAACTCAAGTAATAAGCCACAGAATGCACCTGCCTAAAGTACAGGGTTCTGTGCCCAGGCAAGTCCTCCCAAAACTGCAAACCTTCCAGTTGCTTGAACTAGAACATGGTATGGGAACGAAATGTGCTGTAAATTTGCATAAAAATTAGTATTTTTTAGTGTGATGTGAGCTGCTCTGGACTTCAATTCGAGAGGTTCATTGTGATGCAGTCAGCTCAGTGTTTGTTCGGTGCATGGTGATGGAAACTTGCATTTGTTCAGGATGCAGCAGGGCACTACCTTCGCACTTGACAGGTGGTGTTTGCCCACACTAACATTCAAACAGATTCAACAAAGGAATAAGCTAGTGAATTGCAACAGCACAAATTGCCCAACATCCCAAGTGGATTACTGGACGACAATTGTCTAAATCTGGCAAAATGTCCCATTGAATAAATCCCGACGTCTGTAGAGTGTCCAGTGTTGTTTATCGTGGTAACGGTTCCCCAAAGACAACTTCTGGGTGCCGCTGCCTACTCCATCCATCGTTAAATTATATGTTCACCACTTGTGCACGGGTTCCTGCAGTGCAAGTTGCCGATCTGCACAGAAATCGACACGAATCCATGCATGCGGCACAATTCACATCGCGCACCCCGCCAACCACCCCTTGAACCGCCTCCCGCCGATGGTGCGCTGGACCTCCGATTCCTATTGGCGATCACCGCTGAGCGATGGCCTGGACGCATCTCCCCCCCCCCGTTGGTGGTTCGTTGATGCCTATGCGATTGATCAGTGGAACGGGTGGTGCAGAAGCGGCACGCTGTTGGCAGTCTTGGCGCAAGGGCAGAGATGCATTGGGGGCATCCGCTCGTTCCTTGGCCAATTTCCTGTTGCTACTTCGCCTCCACAAGGCAAAGCGGAGGCATTGCGATTTTCGCGCAGTACTAACGGGCACACACACACACACAAACAACCAACATCCACGCGCGCCTTGCCTGATTCAGAAGCTTCGTGGGCCGCAGAACGGGCGACATGCCCATCGCCTTCGACATCGCGGGAGTGGCAAGGGGATACTTGGGCACAGGCGTCGGATGGCCTTCGCAGACAAAGCGCCCAGGTGTGAGCAGCAATATCGGCACAGGTTGGGAGCCCCTTAGAGCGGCTCGTGGTGCTGAGACGGCCAGCACCACCAGCCAGTCCCCTGTGAGGATGGGCCACAGACGTTTCTTCTCCCGCGGCAGAATGACTCAGGTAGGTGGTAGCAGTGGCGGGGCAGTGGTTGCTCAGTAGAAGGCATTGCTATTAGTAATATCACTGAGAGTACGGAGAAACATAGCGGTGCTGTCATGGGCTTCAATCAACACTTACAAGGTTGGGAGGGTAGGATGCCACCAGCACGCCGCAAACTTCGCAAACGAGCACGCAAGGAGACGTCCACGCAGCCCCAGAAGAAGACCAAAGCGAAAGTGTAAAGAAAGTGCGGGACATGGTCGAAGTTAATGGGTAGAAAAAGGGAACCCAGCTATTTTCAATTACTTTGATTGTGGGGGATTGTGTGATACTAAAATGCCACAAACCGAAATGAGACAAGCCCAAACTGACCTTGATTTGCCTGAAAACACTCTGTGAATGGCAGCTGCGAGTTGAACACATGAGCGAGCCTGAGTTCAACTCGCAGCTGCCATTCACAGAGGGAAAGAAGAATACTCGTACTGTGGCACTTGGACAGCCAATACATTGGCTACACCTCGTATTGGAGTCATTTCATCAGCTGGTGGCATTGCCATTCCTGCAGCGCCACCTCCGATCGCCACTCAGGCGATCCAGTGTTGGTGGGGGCAAGGTCACGGCTTCGATCTAATCCCATCCAAGCTTGAATTGTGATGGTACATAGGCAATGGGCATAAATATCGGAGGAATTGCCAGAGAGGTAGGCAGGCCTCCGATTTGGCGTCAATTTGACATTGCATCGACCTTACATACCACTTCCTCTGTCCGGAATTAATTGTCATCTATGATTTTGGTGCCTTACTTCTCCATCATAGAGACTTCATTTCTCATTCAACTCTCTTGCAAAGCTGCGCCTATGTTTTATGAGTATACAGCCAAAATTTCAAGTCAATCTGTCGAGTATTGCGGGTTTGGCAGCACTTTGTACCAGGGGCCATCCAGCCAGAAATCCACCAGTTTTTCAACATCCTTGCTGGAATGGCCATTTTCGCTGTTTTGAGGAGCACGCTTTTGCGGCCGCGCTACAGAGCCACCCGGGCAAAACTCTCTACGCCATTTGGACAGAAGATCGTGGAGGTGCTTGCAAAGGAGAATAGCAACAGAAAATGCGTCTTGAAAGTCCTGAACGTGAGAGTCGCCGTGTCTTGCAGCTGCAATTTAGGCTCGATTGGCCAATTGGGAGATGCCCATCTGGTCCAGATTTCTGGACCACGACTTTGGGACCTCCAACTCCACTACGAGGGATACTGCAGGAGGCCTCCCAAGTTCCTCGCTGACCCTTAGGAAAATGGTGGCTATCACCCCGGATGTTTAGGCGGACGCTTAGCGAGCAGTTAGGCAGTGGCCCTCCTGGACAAGAATGGTGAATCGACCATTTTTCGTCACTTGGAAGGGCTTGAGCTTAAGAAGACTAGCTAGATGGATAACACTATGCCTCTCAAAGGGAAACGCACTTGCTGGGCTGCGATGGATTGTGGATTGCATGCAAGAGTTGGTAGATCGTGCCAGTTTGTGAGGTGTGGGCCAGGCTGCCCACAAAAGCAAAGATTCAAGCCTCAATCGAGGCAGATTGGCCAAGCAAGTCTACTACATGACCTTGGAACAATAGCTCGCACATAGCCCAAGCTTGAATGCCTTGAACCCTGGCCCTGTTCGCTTGCTTTACATCCGCACGTCAAAGATCGACGATGCGCGAGATTTAAGACATCTTCTAAACTGCGACGATGGTCTTCCACGATGGGGATCCAGATATGCTCGAGCATGTTTGGCAAGTGCTATTCCACGTAAGAGACCCCGCCCTTCACTGCAAAGGCGGCAACGACTTGTCTTTAGCACACCTAGGACGGGAGTGACCCAGAAACGTGCGGATCTCTAGCGGATGCGGAATCAGCACGCACATTTTTTGGACGAATTTCGGCAAAATTGGGGGGTCCTCCAGAGGGGGCGGGACTAACTTTTTTGTGAAAATTCGTAGCTAAGGGTTTTGCAACCCAATCTTGCCGATTCTGATGTTATTTTTTTAAATTTAAGTTATCCTTTGTAAGAAAATTTGTCTTTCAAATAGAGGACAATTAATTCCGGACGGAGGAATTATAATGGTTCATTGATATTCACACTTTGTGTACAAAGTGTCCCATACGGCAGTGGCAAGGTGGCCAAAGAAGCTGCCTCCCGCTGTTTGTGCCCAACCGAGGCAAGACTCTTCACTTGCCCGCTGGCTGGATCATTTCCGGTAGCAACTTCAGTACTGGAGGTGCAGACAGCCGCCTTGCCAAACCCAGAAGCCAATCGGTAGTTATTAAAGCAAGGAATGCAGCCCCACAACCGATCAGCCTGTCCATCCAGTTATTCGAATGAGCTAAACAAGAACCCAACCCCTTCCGACAGGATCCTGGGATCTGTGCTGTCGTCTTGCGGCCCTTCCTGGTTCCCACCAGCTTGTTCACAACCTCCGTACAGATGTGAAAGACACCGCGTCGAGCCCAAGGGGGTGAAAATATGGGATTTTGGGCAATGGTTCAGAACATTGTCGTACGCACAGGGCGCGCCCTTATGTAAGAGTTACAATTGCACCACACCCCAGTGGTTTGCCTGCTGTCTCCATGAATCCCAACTGCACACTTGCACCCTCTGTGTCAGCCACATCCCTCAAGGCCGCAAGTGCCAAATCGAACAATCTCGATACTAGGCATATCTTGCGGCTGCAGACGATATCCTCCCACCCTTTCAACCGGCCCCAAAGCTTCCATGTCACAACTGCCCACAAGCACAGTTGCAACGCGTGCAATTCTCAATCCGCCCATAACGGCCCAGCATGTTGTGTCCACGGTTTAAACGAGGATTCCCGCCAGGTGCCTGACAAGTGCCATGAATAATGAATAATGCCATCAGCAGGCACTGCGGGTGCTAGCCCTCCGCAGCGCCACCCTAGCTACCATGCAAAGCAGGCGGAGAGCATGCGCTCAACCCAGCCATCTTGCTTCGCCCCCAAGTCATCTGTTGCCTCCCCGCACAGGCACGCGGAAGTAATGTACAGCAAGTACCATCCCAAATCCCAGGGCTCTCCAACATCTCAACATATCCCAATCCAAGAAATTGCCACACTCGAATCCCACACTCTCAAAGCAGTTCGTGTGTGGCGCGCTCAAGGTCGTTTGTTCAAATGACATGAAGCTCCCCAATCGACATCCTATGATGGGAACAGGTTCAGCAGGACGTTTGACAGGACGCCCTGTCCTGAGGAAGTCTCCATAACGAGGATCATGGCGAGTGCCACCATGGCAAGGCGGCCGTTCCAGAGCTCGGCGCTCTGTGTGAATCCCCACTTCCACATAAGGTTAGTGGGGGGTGGCAGGCTCTCCCTCTCCCGATCGTAAGATTCCAGCAGTGTGTCGATACCACCTTTAGGACAAAGGAGAAGCAGGGTCAGACAGCAGTTGTAAAGCAGACAGATTCAATCAATGCTTTGCACCAAGAAGTTCCAGAGTGCTGTCACGGCAGGGTATGAGACCACGCACCAGTACAAAACACAAGTAAAGTTGATGCCGCATTGACAACAGCAAGGGTCAGAGGCAGGGTCACAGGGCGCCAGAGATGTGCACCAGCCCATGCACAACAATTGTTCACAGTGTTGGTGCCAGCCAAGGCGAGTGACACATACAACATAAGAATCAGTGGGGAGCCCACAAGGCACAGGATTGAACCATGCCAAGTGGCTCAATGCTGCAGGTTGTCAATGCTGCCCAAGAAAATCAAACAACATGGTGCTGCACGGTCTGCACAGTGAATCATTCCACTTGGCAAAGCAGCAATCACATCCAACCCAAAGCCGTTGCAAATGCTGAGTGCTTTGGCACAATGCCACTGCAGCGACTTCCCTTTGGGAACAAAATGTGATCACACAGCAAACCAATCAGCCATGCTCACCGATGGGGACGATGGAGTTGCTTGCGCCCACAAGCGAGCCAACGAATGGGAGTGCCTCAAGGACAGCATCGGCAAGGTCATCAATAAAGGCCGGGTTTGTGTTCAGAGCAGGGACCCGCCTCCAGTCGGTTACTCCTTGTGACTCCGCTAACTCCCTGTACTCCATGTCGATCTCCTCGAGTGTCTCGATGTGCTCACTCACAAAACTGATGGGCACAACCAACATCTTTTTCACCCCTTCCGCAGCCAGCTTCCTGTCAACATCGAGATGGAGCTAGTCAAGACCTTTAACATGTGCAATTCATATCATGCCACAGCCAAGCTCAAATCATACAGAATGACGCAATGCACAATTTGGGAAAACAGAGAAACAACTTTGGTAACTTGAGCCACTTGCCTCCACCACCAATTGCGAGCACAGCGCATGGGTGCTCGAACCTGAAGCTGCACTCGGGGATCACATAAGACACAAGAACAGCATCCTCACCTGATGGACTGATCGGTGTAGGGCCTCAGCCACTCCACCGGGCCCACCCTGCTCTGGTACGCAAGAGTGTGGTGGTTGTCTACCCCCCTCCGTCGCAGCTCCGCCATTATCAGCCCCACGCATTCCTCCATCTCCTCCTTGTACGGGTCCCCCGCCAGCTCCACGTAGCTCTTCGGCACGCCGTGCGCCGAGAAGAACACCTCCACGCCCTCCGGGCTGTCGAACTTTGCCATCTCCTGCCAAACCAGGTCCGCCATGGCGTTCACGTACCCCGGCCGCTGGTACCAAGAGGGTATGACCGTGTGGCGCAGGCCCGCCAGGAAGCGGTCGCCCTCGAAGAGCCGCTGCAGCAGGCGCAGGGAGGAGCCGCTGGTCGAGATCGAGAACTGAGGGTAAAGGGGGAGGACCACCAGCCGGCTGATGCCGTCGCGCTTGATCTGCTCCATCGCCTCCTCGGTGTAGGGGTGCCAGTACCGCATCGCAACGTACACCTGGCGAAGAGCAAGTCCAAGAAAACTTAGAGAACTGAGGGGAAAAACAGTGATGCTGTTTTGGGGCCAATGGGGTCTCGCACGTCGCATGCGCGTCGTACAACTCCAGAAGAGAGGGAACATTCAGAGCAGAGCGCGGATGGCGGGGCCTTTAGCCCTCAGCCGCCTTGTTTGCGCCATGACTTGGTTGATCCGACGGCGAGCAGGGCTCTCGGCAGAATCGGCACTTCTTGCCAGCCGCTTGGGCGTGGTCCCTTGACGAGTGAAGCAAGGCGCATTCCCTGATGCTGAGCGTCCAGCAAGCGCGTGCATCACTCCACACAAAAGTGGCGTTCGGAGCCACCGCCGTCGCCTGCCGACCCACCGCGCCGCGTGCCTATTCCGCCAGACAATCCAACGCACCTTGCAGGCCTGCCCCTTCCCCTCGATCGCCCGCTCCAGCACGTCCGCCTGCCTCTCCGTGATCTCCCTCAGCGGCGACTTGCCGCCGATGGCGCTGTAGCCCTTGCAGGACTGCGGCGCCCGCAGCGTGGAGATCGCGCCTGCTATGGCCGGCTGCAGGAAGGCCAGGCTGGGGGGGAGGCGGATGATGTCTGGGTCCGCGAAGAGGTTGTACAAAAAGGGCTGGACGTCGTCCAGGCTCTCCGGTCCCCCCAGGTTGAGCAGCAAGACGCCAATCTTGTCAGCTGCAGCTCGGCTGGCCGAAGTTGAGGCCGGTATGGGGGGGTAGGGATCTGAGACGACCTTGGCGTCGAGCGGGGGGCCCGCCATGGTTGGCATCGCCAGGGCGTCGCCGCCCCCGGCGCTCGTCCTCAGATCGGGCAGGTGGGGATCCCTGCGCAGCCAAAAAGATGGGGGTCGTTCGCACATCTGTTTGCGCATCTGCGCCCACATCGGCGGGAAGGCGAAGGGACGGGCACCAAGGTGGGGGGCCGTGGGGGGCGTCGCTCGGTCCATCGTGGGGAAATCTGTACCTCTTCGAATGTGGCGGGCGAGGGACGATCGCATCGGCGCGAGGCACCTGGGCCTTGTGCAAGCCGCGGGCCGCGCCGGGCCCCGGCGCGAAGCTCCCGGCGGACGACATGCTCGCGGACCTCGCTGCCCGAACAGGCACCGCTTGACCGACGAAAAGGAATGGATCTCTCGCCAGCTGTGACCGGGGCTGCTCCCTATTGCGCGCGCTGCAGTCCGAGGCGACCCGCGAGCCCTCGCTCAAAAGTCTGGTCGCAGGGCTGGGCGTCTTGTGGCGCTGGCCGCGTGGGTGGTGTGAAAGCCACGCCACCAGTTGTGTGGCCTTTAGCCGGACGGATGGGCCACCGCAGGGGGCCGCGAATGAGGATGAGGAGGCGCCCGAGGTGGGGCCACGTCATGCCATCAAGCACTCGAATGGCCTGTTTTCACACTATTGTTAAGGCGCTCACACGAGCCGCGGCGTCCCAGGATATGGGACAAGCGACCAGAACTCCCCCCTTGACGTTGGGCAACCGTGTGGGGTGAGCGTGTAAGCGAAGCAGCTGGAACCCCTCTTCAACCTGACGGTAAGCTGAGCATGAAAACGAGTGCGGGGGGCACCGTGCGCGGTGGAGCCAGTAATCCGAGCAGGTCGAGCCACTTCAGCTCGACGGCAAGGCGCGCCTGAAAGGACAGAGGCGAGTGATTTGCAGTGTCTCACGGGCGCAATGAATGGGGATTATATTTAATAAGCCCCTCACTGCGATGACTTGCTTGCATAAGAAGCAAGGGCCACCCGAAGGTGCCACAGCCCACCTGATTCCATTGCTGGTCCGTCGTGCCCATCGGCAGACAGCAGCTGTGCTAATTGCGCAGGTGTGCTTCCAGTGGCACTGAATCGACCAGAACGTGCTTCCGCTCATGGGTTCCGCCCAGCGCCCTCCCCCCTTCCTTCCTTGAAGACATGTAGAATACGGTCCATTGCAGCACGGCCTCATCCAACACCTTGCGGGGAATGGAGTTCACCTGCAGAGTCCTCGCCAGTGTGGATGCGCGAATCGAGGAGCCGTGACTGGACGATTGAGAGACAAGCAGCGGAATTGGGGACATTAATTCCTCGCCAACAGACCGCACATGATGGCAAACAATCCACAGGGCGTTCTACGCAATGTAGGGCTCGACGTGCTGCTCAACGAGGAGCACAGGAAATGGAAGTTGCGACTACAACCCTGTCGACAACTGCCTACACAGCAGATGTACTGCCAGAATGACTCTGTTACACTGAAGGCGGCCATCATCTCATTGAAACACTGCCGTAAGACCGAAACAAATCCAAACTGCGGGGCGCACCCACGACCCGTTCAATTCCGCAGCAGTGTGAGCGACGAGCTGTGAGCCTGGGATATGGAGAATGGATCCAAGAGTTCTGCAGTGGAGGTGAGAGGCCCACAGCGTGGCCCATGGCCCTGTTGCTCAATCCTCACAAAACCGACAACAGATCAGGGTTCACAAGCAATCTTGCGTCCCGATACAAGTGTAGAGAGGCTCCCCGTGAGCGCTAATCCGAGCGCAAGGGTGCGCCGGAAGGGAATGTTGAATGAAAAGTTCCTTCAGCTTATCCTCACATATCCTTTATTCAGGGTACACTCAACGGTAGCTACTAAATAGTTTCCATACCTCCTGACCTCATGTACTCAAATCTACGGACTCGAGAAATAAGTTCCCGTCTTGGTCCAGTGCATGCGTTGCGTCGGGCGCCTACCCGTTTTGTGTCAAGGCAACCACGAGCTCCAGAATTCATTTGCAATTTCGTATTGTCGAAAGCAAATTTGCAAGTCTTCACCTTTACACACCTGTAAAACACCCAGTCCCGCCTTCTTCATAGCCTCTATATCCGATGATAGATGTCTGTCTGATGGATTAAAATTGGGCATCTGCAGATCGACTGCTCATCGAGCAGTCCTGACTGCCAAGGAGTCACCTTTTGCGCTTATTTCTCATTGCCATTTTCACGCAGTGGATTCATCCTGAAATTATCAGATTATTCCTAATCTAGCTTTATTCGTAATACTCTCGTACCTCATATCGCCACATATGTGCTGCATAGATGCGCATCATGCAAAACCACAGTCTCTCCATGACGCGGATGATGCGTGATCATAATCAGGACAATGTAAGACGTGCATGGCTACATAATGGGTAAACATCCGTGGTACCTTGCAAATTTCCAGCTCAAGAAGGCGTGTCTATGGTCACTAGCTAGTGTAGTACATGCATTGCTTCCTGCCAATTGCCATCGCCGAAATGTCTGTGCCGTGGTCTGACTAGATACGCCAGGAATGCAGGCGGGGAGTTGCAGATAAGGGAACCGGCATACACCAAGAAATGTGCTCAGCATGTGCCCAATGGCGTCATCATGTGCAACCACTGTGACATACTGCGGGTCTGAATGATGCAATGTAAGAGAGCTCGTCCCATAATGGGCCTTCAGATCATGAAATTACGGCGAACTGCCCTTTGCCCAACGGGCAGCATGTACACAAGATCCAACGCGTCACTTGACAGCATCTGGGAAGAGATATTCACTGCAAGTAAATGGCCGCCTAGACGATCATACAGTCAGAACATACAAAATTTCTGAAATAAACCACACCGAAATGACGGAGACCACCAATCCTCGCCAGGACCACCCGATAATTGGTTTGCGGCTCAATACGACTGATGTATCGCGGCGATGTGTGTCTTGTTGCAGATCGTCTACGGGCAATTCAGGGTACTCACACACAGAGAGAGCACAGCCACGTATTTCGTCGACTCTTTGCAAGATCGCAACAGTCGATGGGTTTCAATTTTCCTGAACGTCGAAGCGAGCCCCAGCGTGTCCGTGTGATATTGTGGACAATCGGCGCGTGTTTCATTGACCTTGGGGTTAGCCAAATAAACAGCTGCAGCATTGACCGCAATTAACACACACGGCGCAGCTGCGCTGGAGCACTAAAAACGCAATTTCGAATGCACAAGCTGATGCAATTCACAAGGAACATCGCGAACAACCGCAGACAGACTCATCGCTGTGAAATATCCGAGTGTGCAATCGGGAAACTGTGCTTTTGGATATTTTGTGACACCAACTCTCGCCCTTAACATCGCCTGGGATCCCGCCCTGGCGCTCTGGCTCTCCCTCTTATTAAGGCTCGTTCTCCTCCTCTGACGGGGGCCGTCCTGCCCGCCCAGAGTGCTCAGTCGTTGACAGCAATCTTCTTCAGCAGGTTTCGACGTCAAATCCAGTGGCATAGGTCGTCTATAATGCGCGTACATCCCTCTGGGCGCCGTCCACAGCATGAAGCGAAAGCTTGTCTTCGGTGCGCCCCTCCTTGTGAACAAAGTTGCCGCTCTTGGAGAGTTCGGTTTTCCGCTTGCAAACATAGACTCACCGGCGCGCTATTCCTCTCCGTGAGTGCATGTCTGGACAATGCGCGATCCATGCCTCTCACAGCTCAGCTCAGTCAGAATTGCCACCCTATACAAATAAGAACCGGCCAAAATAGATGGTTTCCAAATGTGCAAAAATAGTGTAAAACCGTTTCAAAACGTGTAAAAATCACGTATACTCACTCAACCGTTGCTGCACGTTCTGGTCCCATTCTTATACGATAAGTATACCATTCTGCACGATTTTCAATCGCGTTGCGTGGTACACGATTTTCAAAACCTTGTACTTTGGCCTGTTTATGAATATTAATAAAATTAATGGCGCTAACTAAAGCCTTTCCTCGTGCGTAAACAACCCCCTCTTATATAGGAGATGATGTGGCAGGTCTGTTCTATTATGTTGTCTGTGGTTTCGCAGGAACGCAGCTGTAAAACTATGGCGGAAACGTAACTCACGCATCACCATCATCACATTTTGAGCGAAAGCCTCTGGCACGTGATTGTTTCACACATACACCCGCGGGAGAAGGCCTTCTACCGAAGCTGTATTTTCTGTCCCATCCAATGAGGCCAGTCACAGCATCATTTCCAGCTTGCCCAAAACTCACTTTATGATGATACCAACACCTTAGAGATTACGTTATGCCGATTTTTTGCTTTTGATGGACGCTGGGGCCCGGGAAGAGGGGGTGGCATGCGGGATTCCAGATTTGTGACGGTGTGAACTTACGTTTTTGCCTGAAAATAGAAGTTAGCTAGAAACTGATATAAACCACTGCTGATCGGCGGCAAACAAATCACGTTATGTTCAAGATTACTTTGAGGTGGTAAGTCTTCATAAGGACCCAGAGGATAATTCAATCGACGAATTCCAGAGTTGCTCCATTCGCCTGTCATCATTTCAGGCATCTCATTTCCAGCTCAGTCTTACCCGCTGCAGCTTTGCCTGCTTGCCATCCTTGAAATTTCTCGATGATGTGCCGCGCTATCAATTAATGTTGCTGAGTCATCCTTGCATTGACATAAGGATAATAAGGACATAAGAATGGGCGCCAAGGAAGCCGGGTAGACAACTTAAGGGGGTAAGAACCTGCCAGGGCGAGCAACAGGTCATACAGTGGGCAAGTCCCCCCTGGAAAAGACGCTATTTTGAATTTTGTGCGCTAAGCGTCAATGTGACGTTGATCTCCCCCCCCCTCCTAAGCATCAATCCTTATGTCGACTCCAGGATGACTCAGCAACATCTAACATTTATCTAACAATGCAACAACAAAATACAACTTCAAAATAGTGTTGAGGGAGAAAACGACGGAAATTGTGGCGATTGCAGTGATTCGAAAAATGGAATGCTAAATGCCATTTTAGGCGATGGGAGCAGCCCCAAAGCCTGAACATTGATCCATTCTAAGGACTTCCTCGAAGACAGAAAGTTTTGAGGGAGGTTTTGCAACAAGCCATGAGCTATCTGCCACTGATCATTGGCGTTTTTGTGCATCTTCCCACCTTGTTTTGATTTTAATGCAATTACATAATCTCTTAGCGTCAATGGCTGGATCTTTCCCACCCCCAACCCCACCACCCCGGACCGTCAATTTGACGCTAAACGTACAAATTCAAAAAAGCGTCTGCCCTCAGGGAGGAGGGGAGCTCCGACCTTAACAGCAATTTGACGACAAGCGTATCAAAATCGATGTGGTGTGTTCACTAACGGTCACCAATGATGAACTGTGACACTACATCACATTGCGTAACCTTCACGCCAGCTTCCGCGTGACGTTGTTCTGGCACATTCCGAGCGCTTCGGCCTCATTTCTACTAAAGCCCACGTTACAAACCAGCAGCACACATTCCCTAATCGCGGTTCTCAACGGACCCGCCCAAGTTGCACCGGCAAGAGCCACCGCTCCCCCCCCCCAGCCTCCCTCCCGCTACGCCCACCGTCGCAGCGACAATGACGGGAAGACTTGTGATGGTCACGGGCGGTAATCGCGGCATCGGCCTCGAGATCTGCCGCAAACTGGTGAAGTCCGGAGACAAGGTCCTCATGACCAGCAGGAACGCACAAGCAGGTGGGCACCCTTGCACCATCCACAGCAATATGGTCCGAACTCGACGCCCAACCCTTTCCCACCCCCCCCCCCGCTCCCCTCCCCCTCGCCACCTGTCATAAGAACGCAGAGTCTCGTACTGCAGGCGGGATTCCGCCAATTGTTTGAAGAGATGCCCACATCCCAGCTTGCAGCCACCGCCACCGTTGTTTGCACCGCGACCAGTTGAACCCTAGGCCAAGCTTGCCGCCCTGGGTAGAATGATGCCCCGGGCTTGTGCAAATACCTGGCGTCGCCCTGAGGTTGTGGGGGCGCCGCTGTGCACCGAAAAGCAGATGGCGGAGCGCGGATTCGTGCCGGGAGGCTGACCGAGGGATCTCCGGTTCAGGCGCCGCGGCAGCGGAAGCGATCGAGAAGGACACCGGCGTGAATGGCGGCTGCGAGGTGCTGCAGCTGGACGCGGGCGACGCCCAAAGCGTCCAGCGTCTCGTGGACGTCGTCAAAGACAAATACGACGGCAAGCTGGAGGGGCTGGTGGGTCCATGGTCCAGAGTGCTGCTGTGTTCGGCACACGCTGACGATCTCGTTTCCAGCTGCTTCCATCCAATTTGTGTCCCTTTCTGGTCAATCTTTCGATTTTTGACAGCATTAGCCGCAAATCAACTGTTGAGTCAAATGCAAGCCCAGCAAATAGAATAACGCTACGAAATGCATGTGATACAAACTTCCTGATTCTGGGGAGAAGAACAGGTCAACAAGCGCGATGCACAGGCGGTGCAGCACGGCATCCGATGTACCGCTCAGCTTCCTGCCTCACAATAAGTCATCCGCAAAGAAATACAATTTCGCACAGTCTTGGTTAATGTTCAAACACTGTTGAGCCACTTGAAGTTCGTGTATCAACCAAAAAAACGCCAAAACGTGATAAATTGTGTTGATCCAACTGTGCATGGGGGCTGCTTTTGCACCTGTAATGGCACCTTTTTCAGCTTTGTCTGCTTCAAACTTGATTGCGAATACCCACCGCGTGAACATATTAGATCACAACCGTAATATCTACATTAGATATTTCAAGCAATGCTCTTTGCCATGGGCAAGGTTTCCAACTGGTTGTGACAACCTTGCATTTCGTCAAGCAGATTCACAATGCTGGCGTGCTCTTGAACCCTTGGGATGCAGACGCATTCAGCCAGGCCAAGACTGTGAACTACGAGACTCCTGTGGCCATGACTGTGGCGTTGGCCCCCCACGTCGCACCAGGTGCGCTGCTTACGTATCTGTGAGTTGCTCTTGAGCACAGCCATTTCACTGGCAAGAGATTGGGCAATTCCCCCTTTATCATATTTGAACAGGTTCGATCTGCTGAAAGTCGTGTTTTGGCACGTTGGCATGTGACAAGACAAGATGTTTTGGCATTCCTTTTCTATGAATGCAATATTTTGGGAGAATTGCTGCGATTGTTGCAGCCATGTTTTTCAACACTTTTCGCACAGGATTGCAAATGTGAACAGTGCCCAGCATAGCACAACAGGCAATGGCTGTATTTATTATTGGCCTATGAGTATAAAGTGGAAGGCTTTGATTGCCACTGTGCGTCGGCTGCAGTTCATGGTGGTTGAAGGTCTTGGGAAATTTCATCCACTGTTGGATAGGGGCATAGTGTGACAGCTTCGTGCCTTCCCCAAGCCTTGAACTTGTGTTGGATCTCGATTGGAGGACAAGTGGAGTTAGGATTGGCACTATCAGTGGCCTACATTTGGTTCACCAGTATCACATGGCGAGCTGTTTGTCTGCATTTGGCAGGGAGGGACAACAGCACGTTGTACTGTGTGCAACATATTGCACCCCTGTTGTGCTGACTTGGAGTATTCTTGTTATTATAATGACTGCACATGGAGCAATAATTTGGAGTGCCTTTCTGCCCCTGCGCGACCGATGGGGTCTGCAGTGCAAAGCTTATGCGTACATGAAGCCTGAGACCATACACGAGAATTGAATTAGGGCCAGTCTTTTCTTGCTATATCAGGAAGCGCAGACAGACTGTGCACACATCGGCAAGTGTATGGAGAGCTTCAATCACCAAATATGCATTGTAATTGTTGGATGCAGCGGACGGTGCATACTTGCAGCAGGCTGACTGTCAGTTGTCCTCATTGCTGTGCAGTCAAGCTCCAGCACGACGCTTGTGGACCCACATGTCCCTTGCCAAGTTTTCTGAGCAGTTGTTGACTGGTCTAGGGATGAAGAGCTGTAATGTGGAATACTTTGCAGTGCACTGCAGAAAGCAACGTAGACTATGCTGAACTGCTTATCTTCCTGTCTAGATGGTATCTGTTCAGAGTTAGTTGAAAGCAGGCATCAAAATAGTGCACTTTCTGTTGTTGCAAGATGAAATTATCGTGGCAACAGTAATATTTATGTCAGATGCCGTGTGCCTGCAGGGTGCAGAGTCGTGATGGTGTCTTCTGGATGGGGCCAATTGAATGAGATCCCATCCAGCAGCAGCTACATGGCGACCTTGACGACGGCCCAGACGCTGGAGGACCTCAACTCTCTGCAGTTCCAAGCAGACGACCCCCTCAAGCACGTTTCATCGCCTGCCACGTACAAGCTCACCAAGGTTTGTTCCCATGGAAGGATTTTGGCTTCTTGTCTTCTTGAAGACTGGTCCGTAGGTACTTGTGTAATTTGCATAAGAAAGTGGGCTTCTTGGCTGTGGTGTGTTGAATGCGCTTTTCGACAAGAATGTTGTAGACAGAATCAGCACGAATCTGTATGATTCCTGCAATGGCCTCGGGATAGATCTTGCACTGTCCGCAGTGTCTGCGATGCTGTACAAATGCATACGGACGGTTCCAGCAACAGTTTCACTGCAAAGCATTTGGGAAATGGACATTAGCCATTCACAAATGAAAATTACCTTAGGCCGGCGCTTCAAGGTTGACAGTGCAGACACGACCTTGGTGACACTGTGTGATGGATTTGCCCGTCCACCAGCGAAATTGCACTAACAGCTTAGCTGTGACTGCGCGGTCTGAAACCGCCTTCCAGCCGGACTGCAAGCGCGCTCTGTATGGAAGGCTATTGGCAGCGTTGCTGTCAGACGATTTTCAGCCCGTTGCCGCGATTCGAAAGGGAGCGGCATTGTGTGTAAAGTGCATGTTTTTGGCTCGTGTCTCCTGTGGCCCAGATGGGAAAGCACCGGAAACGAAGCTAATGCGATGGACGTTTAATGCGTCGCTTGCTGCGCCCTAGGACGGCGTCTCAATTGCGTGCTGCGGCATCTGTGATGGTGTAGTTGTGACTCACCCCGATACCTGATCTGCAGTTCAGATTCTGAACCCATGTGGGTGGGAACGACGGCCTATTGTCGTGCTGTGCAGGCCATGCTGAATCGAGCCACGTACATCTTGTCTGGGAGCAAGCTGCTGGCGGCGAAGGACATCACGATCAATGCATGCTGCCCGGGCTGGTGCAGGTCAGGCAGTCCAACTTTGCGTCCATGTTTCGCCTGTGTTGTAGAATGAAGCACCTGCCGAGGGCGCGTATCGTTCTGTCCACGTTAACGAAATTGTTTGCCAGTGATTAATAATCAGTGATTCGGTTGAGGCGACTCATTACGCAAAATGGGGATACCGTCAACAGACACAAATTGGGTTGCACGCTGGGTTGATTTCGTTGCGCGACATTGACCCATTTGGTGCTTTAATTCCACTACTGGCATTACTTTGCGCGATTGGTGTCACGCGACTTGAAATTACGTGATTTGAGAGTGGAAATTACATGATTTGATCCCTCCGTAACAAGGTCCTCGCAATCCCGTTCCAGAGGTTTTCAGAAGTTTTCGCGATTAGCCACAGAAATGTGTTGCACGACACGGCACATCGAAGTATATGGCGGCCCTTCTCCTCTGGCAAGACGGGGTGGGCAATTCATGCAGTGCTCATCGCAAGTCAGCATCACTGACCTGGAATGGGTGCGGAAGTAGGATACAATGCGTGTAGCATATGAAAGTCAGCTAAGCCATATATCTTTTTCATAGTTTGTACATCAATGCGGGTATCTTCAACGAAAGTGGCGTGATGTGCTTCAGCGCCCCCATATATCAGTGTTTATATTTATAGAACTACATACTCACGAGCATGTGCATATGATGTGTATGTGTCCAAATATATTAGTTTGGAAACGGAGTGTAAGAAATATGGAAAGCGTTTACGTCAGTGTGACTGACGGCGGGTGTTGGTGCTCAGGACCGACATGGGTGGCGGCAACGCCACCAGGTCTCCGGCCCAGGGCGCCGACAGCGCCCTGTGGATCTTGAACCACCCGGCCCCAGGTCCCAACGGAAGATTCTTCAGGGACGGCAGAGAGCTTGTGTGGTGAAGTCGACGTCTGTGCTCCCACGAGCTTGCTTGCGCACCGGCAGTGCTGTCGACATTTTTCCCACTTCCGAATACCGCGTTCTTGTAACAGTTGTACATCTGCTTTCTGAATTTTTGACTGCGTCTGAATTGCTGACTCCATTTCTGGCTGCTGCGTGCCAAACGCGCAGCCCCCGCGTCTTGCAGTGCCAATGAAAGGCAAGCAAAGCTACTGCTAAGACGAACACGATTTGGTTCGCTTGAAACGCGGTTTGCGCTGCAAACTGACATATTATGTGGCGTATTGTAACGCATGACTTGCCGCGAGATTGAAGCATGACGATGTTGTAACGAGAACTGATTGAGCATTATTAACAGCTTCACGCATAAAGAAGTGATGATGCGTTAGGAATTGCATTAAGGACATTGATGAACGGACTGGGTGTAAGGGACAGAGCCCCTGTTGTCCCTTTGCTCGACTGGAAACTGTTGCTATGGACTCGAGACTACCGTCCCCGTTCAGGGGTCGCCACCCCTCGACCCCGCCTGCCTTCGTCAATGACATGCAGGATTTGAGCACAGAATATTGTCGCGTATTGTGGCCAATTGTACCAGTGTGCCCGGCAACAATGGAAATTTCTGCAACCACATTGTCCCTTTCCGGGGCTGAATTGTATGATACTTTTATAATGTAAATAAAACAGAACACTTAACATTCACTATTTGATGCAAGATATATAACATGGTAGAATACCATTCCACCCAAAAGCAAAACTCGGGACGCTGCAGCCGCATTATGATAGATTTATCGTGAACGACAGCGCCAACGCGTCCGAACACTCTCCAATTTTCCACGTTTGTGTTCATGCAATGTTATGCAAACACATGGCACAAAACAAGCTTAAGTGTGAACGAGCTGCTCCCCGTTTCATGTGAGCTCCCTCGCAGACGCATGTCAGCAATTTAGCAGGGTGAACACGAATTGTAGACTAGTAACATGGTAAAATCCATTCCAATAACATCCGCGAATTTGAATGAAGTCGGTGAAACGAAGTCAACCCAATGCCTGGGTGTTGCGGAAAAGCATGCAAACACACCGTGCAGAGGAAAGCTCAAGGTCTGCCCAGGCGCATCCAACAACGTGCCAGTCTTGCTATTTATCGTGTAAACATTTCTATTTATGGCTGTTTACGTCTGATTCTTTTTCGATTTTACTCGTTAATAACCGTGAAAATGGGTAAAAATGGGTAAAAATGGACCTTGTGTACTTAAGGACTGTCGACACAGACTCAAAGAGTCTGGGGAGTGGCAGCTAGACGGGCTGAAGTATGCATAAAACGATCCTTTGCCTGGCGACGTCGTTGCCCTTGCTGGGGGCGAGGTGTGCGCTGCGTTGCTAGCGCTGGACAGAGTGGAGTGTTGATCGTTGATTGGGGGACATCATCATGTGACATGGGCGTATGTACTAGCCGCAAATATGTGTAAATATGGCCGTTTCCCTATTTACGTAAACATAAAAAAATGGCACCGTGCAGCGTACTAAACCTTGCACCACTGTTTCCACAACAATACTGGGAGGCGAAGCGCTGCGGCAGCCAAAATGCAACAAAGTTGTTCGCGATCGTGCATGGGTTGATCGGTTGGGCGAATGGCAGTTCGGATTCTCACCGGGGAACGCCTTTGGCCGCTGCCAGCACTCATACAAGCGCTCAAAATTGGATTTTCTGTTAGAACAGAGGACTCTGTTTCCAGTACCAGTATTGCGATTCCTCTCTCCGAGGAGAAGAATCTGTGTCTACAAGGACGTTGTCACTAGAGTATACAAAGATATTTTGAGCATGAAGATTTCAATTTAGATACTGTAGGCATGTGCCACTGTTGGTGGGTACAGTGTTGCCGCATGCGACGTGCGTGATCTACACAGTTTTCTGGAACTGCGCCAGTTTTTGCTCCCGATTCCTGATCAACTCACGCATTTCGGCAGAGCTCACAGCATCCACATCCCAAGCCCGTTGACCCCAATGGAATGCACCACCCTGCCCTTTGCCATACTCCCTGACTTTCCTGTAGATTACGCCCAGAGTAGCGGTCCACCAACATCTTTAACAGCTGCAAGATACGCCAACCTTATACCTACCACTGTGCAACTGCTGATGCTAGCAGTGTTGGCAGTGTTGTGGGCCTTCTAATGTTAGCACAAGTAGAGTTTTTTTTAAATTCCAATGTATTACACAAGTAGAGTTCAATATTATTGTTGTCAGCAGTACTGTGTAGTTAAACCACAAAAGCGCCAAGTCAGGAACCACGTCGCGCGTATGCTCTTGTGCCACACTTGTCCCTGGGCTGGTCGCGCTCGGCACCTCCCTAGCGCCGGACCAACCCTTTGAGAGACCCCCTCGCGAGCCGCGGGCGCCGAACTGGCATGTCGGGCCGCGTCGTTCTGGTGACGGGCGGGAACCGCGGCATCGGCCGCGAGATCTGCCGCAAGCTGGTGGCCGCGGGCGACAAGGTGTTGCTGACGAGCAGAGACGTTGCGGCGGGTGAGCGCCCTTGCGTGTTGCTGCTGCTGATGAGCTTGCAGGGATATCGATGGTAGAAAGTGTAAAATTCGCGTGCCGTACCGGTGGATCTTCTTATGGGTCCAATCTGGTAAATGGGATTGGCTTTGTCGACCTCGGCCACAATCAAAATGGAAAGTATTGGACGCCCCTTCGCACAACCTCTGTGTAATACCAGAATGCGTGCAGTCCAGCAAGTACGCCTGGAGAGGGAGCGGCCGGCTGGCGATCAGTTTTGGATACATTTTGCCATCAGAGAACTAAACACAACTCTTGCAAATGGCGGGCGAAGCTGGATGTGTGTACGTCCACGGTGTTGCTTGTACTGCACCCTTGGGGTACTGCAGGGCACTCAGTGTAGTTTGTAACCTGTGCCTCACAGCCCCCCACTCCCCTTCAAAACTGGACACCAGATCACAGGTGGTTACATCACTCCTGTTGACTGAAGACCGCCTCCCCCGGAAAGGGGGCCCAGAATAACGCCATCCCTATAGCCTCAATCCATCTGCTCACAGAAACAAGGAATGACAGCTCAGACTGTTGATTGCCTTCAGGAAGGATAGATCCGCTGGTTTCTGTTTCTGTTTCTCCCTGGCTCTGTTTCTATTTCTGTTCGAGAATTGTGCAGCACATTGAACAGTGCATGCCGCACTGCCTCCTGACCTAAGAGATGTGGGCCTTGTGGGTGATGGCGATGTTGGATGCTGTGGAAGGTGGGCTTGGGATGATGTGTGGAAGTAAGTGCTGTTGTCGTTGCTTGCTTGTCAGACAACTTGGAGTATCAGCAGTGGAACCTGTTCTGTCCTTGTCCCATGCCAGCAGAACCCCAAATGGCTGTGCAACCTCAAATCCAGCCCATGAATGGGCCCAGGGTTGTCCACCTGACGGTGGGAGGTGGCCCCAGGCAGTGAAGCAGCAGAAGCGATCGAGAAGGAGGTTGGTGTGAAGGGTGGCTGCGAGGTTCTGCACTACGATGCACTGGACTCCCAAAGTGCGGAGCTGTTGGTGGCTGCCGTGGCTGCAAAGTACAGTGGCAAGGTTGACGGATTGGTGAGCGGTGGTCAAGGGACTGGCTTAATATCTTGCCACAATATCTTGTTCACAATATCTTGTCAGTCTCCTTCTGGAACAGGCCTGCGATTTTTTCCATTCCACTTGCATCATAATAAAGGTGCCAGGTGCTGCATACCATCTGAACAGCAAAGAAGGGATTTGTGCCACCTGAAAGGAAATGCCATGCGATCACAGAACCCCAGATTGATTGCAGCGAAAGATTGTTCTTTTGGCGTCCTCCAAGTGCGCATCTTCCTTGTAGATCTCAGGGGCTTTTGCTGATCTCCTTGCACAGTTAATGTATTGATTGATTGATGGGGCTGGTGCATTGGTGTAACAAAATGTTGCCAAGTTTGAACTTGTTCGCATGGCTTTCCACAGGTGGCCCAAGCTTTAGATTCAACTGTTCGTGCTACTCTAGTCTCTATTTCCAGTGATGGCACCCATAGAAGTTGCAGTATTATCACACTATTGCACAAAGTTGATCCTGCAACTGCTGTGTTCAGCACAGTGCAATGTGGATACACCACATTGTCTGGGATTCACAATTCTTTGAAGCAGTTGGCCACCATGCTGTAGATAAACAACGCTGCTGTCACATTTCGTGAGCGCTGGGATGCAGAAAGCTTCCAAATCGGAAAGACGACAAATGTTGATGCTCCAGTGGCTTTGACACAAAAGCTGTCTCCACACCTTGCTCCAGGTGGGTGCACGCCAGTCTGCATCTGATTTCAAGATCACCAAGGTCTAACACAGTGGCCCAGAACGGCAAAGAGCAGTTGTGTGATTGTGTTACGTGCATCAATAGTGAAGGGTGCATTCCTGATTCGAGAACTTGCAGCCCATGGGCACATATTACCTGTAGACAGAGACCGTGTGGCATGAACAGGTTTATGCTGGTATTAAATGCTGGAATCTGAACCATGGCTCCGTCTGTGGCGATGGCACCTGGATTCTCAACCATGGAGTTGATGCATCTGGATTTGACACCAAACACTGCGCAGTTGGGCCACAGGGGCTGCCAGTATGTGTTCTTGTTCTGTTCTTTTGCAAGAATGCGTCTCTCAGACACATCTTGCCAGAATTTGCCAATGTTTTGACAGGCTTGCTATGGAGTTCATTCCCAGAATGTACGTTGCTGAATGCACCCTCGCCCCAATTGTTTGCTTGTTACACTGGTGAACTTGGTCATGTCACGCAATTTCACTTGGATTTTGAATTGTATGATATTTCCAAGATGAGTGGATTGTTAATTGAAACCGCTTTAAAACAAGACCAAGAGATGCAATGCAAACAATTTTTGATCCTCCTTTATGCCACCGTTGCTTACTGTATACCTCAAAAGTTTCTGCAGAATAACGTTCACGAGAAATGGTTCAGGCAGACATTCTTTGCGCACTGCATGCGAATTTCCATTGCGAGCACACATTTCAGCGAGCACTGCATCCAATGACATTTACAGTCCATCTCTCCACCTTATAGCCATACATGTGCACTGCCCATACCTTGGCCCATTAGTGCATAAGGGGACAGCAGAACACCAACGCATGTGACAGTCCACCCCATCTGTCCCTTACAAAGGCAGTGAACTGGCCAGCGCGGCTCCCCACTGCTGACGGCCACCAGTGCGAACGATCTGCTAGCAGGGCCCCTTTGTGGGGCACTTGCTATTCATTTATGAGCACCTCATGTCGCAGTTGCCATTGTGCAGACCACAAGCCACAGGGCATCAGGCGCTCAGGTCTCCTGAGCAAGCAGTCGAAATGTTTATGGGCAGAATTGTTTGTGAGATGTGTTGTTGCACAGTCGAAATGTTTATGGGCAGAAATGTTTGTGAGGTGTGTTTTTGCACAGTCAAAATATTTATGGGCAGAAATGTTTGTGAGGTGTGTTTTTGCACAGTGTCTCAAGGGCGAGTCTGAAGAGTTATTTCCCTGCAGACCGCTTTTTGTAAACACTGCTGTCGATATCCTTACAGTGCCGATGTTCATCAGATGCCTGAAGCATGAAGATTTGATTGTTTGGCAATTCACAACTGCAAATTCAACAGGCGACGGAAGATGTGCTTTGCGAACATATCACCTTTGCAGGGTGCCGGATCGTGATGGTGTCCTCGGGGCTTGGCCAACTGGCGGAGATCCCTGTGGAGAGCCAGTACTACTCCGGCATGGCATCGGCGGCGACAGTGGAGGACTTGAGCGCCTTCCGCTTCCTAGAGAACGATGCGATGACGGACCCTCCTTGCATACTAGCGCCTGGTAGGAAGAACCCGGTGTACAGGCTCACCAAGGTGTGCAGCGGCATCGTGCAACCGCACCATGACTAGAGTATGTCCTTTGGAAAGGAGGAAAGTGTTCAGACAATTGACATCAATTTTTACCTGACTGGACTGACGAAGAGGCAGCCTCGATTATGCGATAACTGATTACATGATCAACATAAACCCTTCAAGGCATATGTTTTGATTTGTGGACCTATTTGAGGTCTACTTGCATGAATGTGGAGCAGGTGCACTATCAGGCGTTGATGCGCCTTGTAATCTGAACAGTCTATCAGTTTGCATGGTGATCCCATATGCTCAACAGCCATGCAACAAAGCCCGGAAATCCTCCACTGTCGTGAAGTCACAATGTGTCGCACAAAGAAAGACTTGGAGGAGCTTGTCCATGGGGGCCCTCACATTGCATGGCAACCTTTGCTTCACTCTTGAAGAACCATTACATTGGGCAGGGGTCAGCTGGGAATGTGCCGCCTCCATCCTGGAGATGCTGCCGTTTGATTGAGTTTGCAAGTCATGTGACAGAGCATGGGGCCTGCGTTTTCCAAGGCAGTGATGGCCTTCACCTATTCGCAGTGTTTGCTTACGTTCGTGGGAAAGTGGGCTCCCTGTAGGGAAACTGCGCACATTGCCGTGCGCAGATTGCCCGCAGAGATTGCCACCATGATGCGATGGACAAGTCGACTTTTCATCGTGGGTTGTATCCTGATGAGCTTGCTGGGCCGGATACTTCCATTTTATTTGCTGGAAAATCGTAATGCGCAGCTTGTTTGTCTGCCAGGCTATGTTGAGCGTACTTCTGGCATTGAAGCCACAGGAAGCCTGGGAGCTTTGTGACACACACTCTTTGGTGCACATATTTTGAGCCATCACATTGTGCAACGTGGATGCATGCACAGCACCTTTAATCAACGAACCATAGCATGGTGCAAAGATGTCCTTTGGCATCTCAGAGCAAGGATGCAACATTCCAAATTCGTGTCTGCGGCCTTGGACTCGCCGGCCAACAGTTCCAAACAGCAAATATGCCCTCTCACTTCCACAAATCAGAGCCCATTGCAGGGACTGCACAGAACAGTTGCCTACATAGCTGAGGCACTTCGATGAACAATTCAATCTTGGTTTGCCGGTCACTGTTTTACTGTCGCTGTGTGTGATGTGGTGATGGTGCAAGCGTATGCGGTGTTCTAAAGTGATTAAATTACACCAATCCCAACGAGCATTATCTGTACATAGAACTGTGATTTATATGTTATGAACTATTTGAAACGTCGCTATAAACGTCGCTATGAATTAGCGATTGTACATCATTCGAATTGCATTGCTCTCAGGGTTGCTTGAACTGCGGTGCTTTTGGTGATATCTGCATATGCACATGCGCAGGCGATGCTAAATCGGGCCACCCAGATTTTTGCCCAAGATGCATCGTTTGTCGAGAGGAACATCAGCGTCAATGCAGTCACCCCCGGCTGGTGTAGGTCAGTCAGTCGGTCAGCTTCCTTTGGCTGCATCTGTCATGAAAAGACAAAACGCAGCCCTTGCACCTCATAGGCGATGATGGGCCTGACTTTGCAGGCGCACATTGTTGCTTGGAATCGTTTGTTTGTGTTCCTGTTTCCATTCAACCTAGAATCCCAAGAAGAGCAAAGCTGGCTGGTGTTTGTCTGTGTGCAGAAGTGTGCTCCTCTGCCAAATTTGAACCACGACTATGAAATTGTCTTGGAGAATATGCTGTCGCAGAACAGAATTGCGTTGCCATATAAAGGATCCTCGTTGTGCATTATCCCCTGTTGAAGTCGCGTCGAATTCCTCTAAACCATGTGTTGGCGATGGCCCGTGCGTTGAGGCGGGCCCCGCCCATCAATTGCATGAATTGCCAGTTTGCCGACATTTGGAAATAGCGTGCAGTAACTCTGGGGCACAATGTCCTGTAATTCTGTTTCATGATGTTGCGGATCAGTTCTACTTGGCTAAACTGTGAAATTTAATTCGTGTGGGTCACGATTTTGCACAAAGTCTCCAGATTTGTGGAACCATGAAATCGTGGAACAATTTTATTGTTCATGCCATTTCTCAGCTGTGACGCGGACCACAGAAACCGTTGCCATTCGGCTGCGGGTGTGTCCTGCAGCTCTTGCAGGTCAGCCATGTATTGGCTCGATAATATCAGGCCCACTTCTCATCAACACGGCTCTCTGGCCGATATTGTGCAGTGTTGATGATAAGCAGCCAATGAAAGAATTCTAAGTATGTCTGTGGGGAGGCAGCTGCACACCACAAATTTCATCCAAGAAAGAACCAATTGACAGGACAACGAATAAGGCAAATTCACAAGAGTCCGTGAATTGGGCCCTCTTAAAGGTCAATCATAAATTGTCGCGAAGATCCAGCGAATGCAACAACTGCTGTGGTGCACAACAGGACCGACATGGGCGGACCGGATGCCGAGCGATCTGTGGAGCAGGGTGCTGACGCAGTCATATGGGTTCTCAACCACCCGGATCCCAGCCCCACTGGGAAGTTTTTCAGAGATGGCAGGAGCATCGACTGGTAGGAGGGCAGTCTCTGGATGCGGAGGCCATCGGAGCCCTCTACAGCTCAAAGCATGGGGATTGGGAGGTCAGGTAACCATTATCAGGAGCAAGATCGATATGATGATGTATAGCCCTGCGTTCACGTATTGCGAGCGAGAGTTCTGGGAAGGGAAAGATTGAATGGCAACGGCTCGACGGCCAGTGTATGTGCACCATTGACAGGTGTCTTCCTTTGTCCGCTCTCATTTAGTCGTTTTGTGGAGGACGGTGGGACTTTGAAGTTGGGTGAAAGTGCGGCACTCGTTTGCCACAAGTGAATGTCTCGCTACATGCTGAGCCCGTTCCAGGTTGCATCAGAAGATTTTGGCAGTCCCAGGCGTTGCCAGCCGGGCCATCAAGAGGTTGTCACAGTAATTGAAGACCGTTTGCGATGGACACGAATTGCGTCTCTGTAAAATTGGGCTGTGTCGCAATTGCACAGCGTTCTTTGAGCCATGGGACGTGAAAGGAAAAGTTTGCGTCGGGGAAATACGGCTTCGAGACCGGTTGAGTGTGTCAGGTAAACAGACAGAAACGTTGCTGTGGGTGCCAGCTTCAGAGGTTTCAGTGAAGCTGTTGAGGGTGTGTTGCAAATAGCACTGTTCCACCAGCGTGAACTGCGTGAAGGGTCTGGAAAGAAGATACGTGACTTGGCCGTGGGGAACATGGAATCCATCCTCCACAAGTATCTGTCTGCATCTTTGTGTGGCATGTTCGGTAATCAAGCATGTTCAGGAGGAGAAAGATTCTGCTGAAACGCGGGGTGCGCATCTAGGCTCTAGGTAATGGCCCATCTCCAGTTGGCTGTTCACGGCAGATTTCAGGAATATGTCTCGAAACTCAGGGCCACGGAAGGGTTGAGGTGCAGAGTGGGGCGGCGGGCTGCAGAGCAATGCTGTTTTGAGGCAGCGCGAGCGCTGTCTTCCTGACCTCAGATTCCAGTTCAGCTCTATGGTCGCTGTTGTTCTTGTCAGCGAAGAAAATTGAGCGTCCAGGGGGAGCGCTATCGGAGGGGACGGCCTTTTGTCATCAATGGGGACAGCCTTGTCGTGAGTGGTTTTATGTGGCAATTAGATTATCAAATGCTTGATGAATTAAGATCGGAATTTCAATTGTATTTCCGCCTGGCTACTCTCAGATCGTCGAGAAGATGCCATGATTTCCTGTAAGATTTGTTCTATCCGCATTGCATTGAGCAGGAGAGCTATGAACGGAAGGATTGAACTGCGCAGGAGAGACGGCCACTACGTGCACAGCGTGGAAGGTTGCCTTCATTTGTCCATTTGCTCATTGAATGCCCACAACACGTGCATTTTCAAAGCGCGGTCCCGTGCATATGTTATGCTTCATTGACAAAGGAGACATGCTTGTTTTAGGCACCCCAATGTTGCGTATTTTACCCTTTGTTGACAACACTTTTTTGCGGTGGCGCTCTACCAGATGCTGCCTTTGCTGGATGTTTTTCTAGGATTCAGCGGCACTGCGCATGGCAAGCAGCAGGTCGTAAGTTACCGCAGGTTGCTTCGAAAACTCATGCGCTCAGTGCCCCCGTGTCTTCTGTAAAATAATGGCGCATCCTCACAAAAGGTGCAGCGGGGATTGTGGTAAACGACGAGACAGTAGTTGGGAGCTGGACATGCCTTCGCGTGCAGTGCGGCGATTGCTGTTTTGGGCTTTAAGGCGAAGGGCTTTGTCGGTTGCGAAGCTTCGGGTCAATGGCTCAGGCATGGAAAGGG